TGTCTTACTTTTTAGTATTTGTCATCTGAAAGGACAGAAAGAAAAATGTAGAAGAAATTTAGAAAAAATAGGATGTCAGCTCTTTAAATCCTCTCTGAAAGTCACTTCATCCTGAGGGGTCAGGGGGCTGCAATAATGTGGGGTGGTGCAGTAACAGCTGCCACCAGCCTCTCTCTGTACCTCTGTGATCAAAAGCACCAATCAGTAATTCAAATTAGCACTTACCAATCACTGCCCAGATGCCTGATACTTAGAGTATGTGGTCCTCTTGCCCACCCAGGCTCCTCCTCCAAGATGTGAGTATAGGTTATTCCCAATATAAGTGCACAGTTATCTGCCACAGGGCTGAAGGTGGGGCCTGGGCAGCTGCTGACCATGCCGAGAAATAAGTTGGGCAGAAATTAACCACATTTCACTCTCTAGGTCTTTTTTTGGGAAGTTACAAGCCTTCAGCAAAATGTCTCGTAATTCCAAAATAATTCCAGATTTTGGATTCAGGTTTCAAGGATGTATAAGGCTATACATGCCCCTTTGTTCATATACTGTCTGTGATTGCATTTATACAACAACGGCAGAGTTGCATGATGGTAACAGAGACTGTTTTCCATATTCCTAAAGTATTTGCTATCTAGTCTTTTAAGAAAAGAAATTTAATCTATGCTTTAAATCCTTAAGGGTAGCATTAATTTTTGCCATTCCATTTGATTAACTGCCTTGACTAGACAGGGGCAATGTTAGAGACTTTTACTTGGCTTTCCTCACTGTAATTACTTTATGACTCAGTGTTGAAGTAGAATCAGCCTACGAGTGTGTTCTGCTGTATATTTGTAGAATGGGGAAATGGCAGCTAGGTGCACTGATGGACCTTTTGGACCAAAGAAGTGCTTGAGCATGACTAGGAATTTGTTTATTACTTAGCCCCATGTAGCCTCACTCTGACGAGGTCCAAGATACTTTGGGCCTATGAAGTATTAATCTCAGAGCACTGAATCTAGCATACCTCATAATATTTACATATTCCCTATTCTCTAGTGTGCTAAATTAAATGATTAGAGCATTTAGAAAAAGGAATAAAGTAATCATTACTGTGCATATATTTGTCAACATACTGTAGAATTTTGCCTCTTGGTAATCTGGCCTTTTCTTCAGTTAGTACCTAGGAATAATTGTATAATATCCTATAACATTTTGATACATAATCTGGACTCTATTTCTTCACCTTGTTCACACTTTTTCTTCTTTTACTCACTCTGATGTCACACTGGCCTCTTGTCATTTCTTACTTCTGTATATGGAGCATTTCTCCTCCTGATTTCTTCTTTAGCTGCATACAGGTCTTTATTCAAAATATATTTTCCTAGAAAGGACTTTCTTTATCACTTCTATGAAAATAATGCCAGTTTTACCCATCCCTTTGTATACATTTTAGTTCTCTTTATCCTTTTTATTGCTTTATCGTTTTCCTGCTCATTTGTCTGTTATTCTCCTCCACTAGACCCAGAGGAACAGAAATTTTTCCTCCTTGTCTGTTTCCTGGTATTTAGAATAGTCTCTACTATGTAGTAGGCTATTTGTTGAATGAAGGAATACTTTGAGAGAATTGAAAATATTTCACATAAAGTTTATTTTTTATTATAGTTGTTGATTTATCAGTTTTTGGCTGTATGTCATTTAATAAATCTGATCAATTAAAATTGATGAACAGTATAGCATGTTTACTTGAAAACTAACTGCTCAATAACTAATAAATAAAATTAATAACAGAATTTAGATTAAGTATTTACACAAAAAAATTACTTCCTCCAAGAAAAGGGGGGGGAGAACAATATGTGGGTTACTTAATGGAAGTATTGTGGACTTTCTATTTTCTAAAAATAATTCAGTTTCTTGTAAAGCAAAAACTTGACCTGTAGTTAAGATTTGGGCCTTTATCTGCATGATTTTGGATTAAGTAAGCTTTATGTGTCACATAATTTCACAGATTTATTTAACTATAATTCCCTTGTAGGATTTTCTAAAAAGTTTAGTAGCTTAGTTTCTTAGTACTGAGTAGCTCTGAACATAAATTCCTTTATCCTTAGTCTATATTTTATGTGTGCAAATCAAGGATTTTTAAACATATATCCTTTTGGCCTTCATAGAAGAAGTAAGGTAGGCTAGAGATATGATCATCTAAACTATGATATGCTGGTTAAGCGAGTTCATTGTAGTTTAGGTGCCAAAATTTTTTACTCTGGGTGGCTAGCTAATTCATCCTTAGAACTTAATTCTCAATCAAGTCTGTATTTATGAATAAATAGAATTTTATCTAAAAGTACCTAGCAATCTTGCTTATATTTTATGCCTTGATTATACCAGATAGCTGTCCTAAAGGAAGTCTTAGTAAATAAATTAGATTAATAGGACTACAACAGTAGCTCTACTTGACCATTGTGAAAGTCCTTTATTGTAAAATGTAGAAAGTCTTTAAAAGACTTTTTTTAAAGGGGAAAAATGAATGATATGCCCTCATGTGACAGTTTTATCTTTTTAGCTTCACAATTTATCCTTACTCCCCTAACTTTGTAAGCATAAAGAGCTACTTATAGTCAAGGAGCTACTTAGCAGTAGTAAAGCAAAGTGGTTTAAATCTTAGGTTTACAACATACAATTTGTATTTTCTTGGAGAATACTTGACATCATAAAGTTGGGGATAAAGTGGACCTACTGTCTTACTGAGACTAGCAAATGAAGTAATGCATGTGAAGTGCTTATCAAAATTGTTATGCTAGTGGTGTTCCTATCATTATCATGGTTATTTTTATTCTGACTAGAATTTCTCCTCTCCTTCCTTCTCTTACCACATCAGACTGGTGAACCATTTCAGTTTCTAATGTGATGGTGATAAGGAAGACAATATTACCACCTGTTGATCATAATCATCCTACCCTGATGCATCTTTCCATATGTGGTTCCTGTATCTTTCGGTTCCTCTAACAGGTTAAGCTCTGGCTTTCTATTTTCTAATAGTCTGGAAAGCATTGTTCCATTTTTGTCTGGCTGATTTTTCTTCTTCAGACCTCAGTTTAAAATGACACTTCCTCAGAAACTTTTCATGTCACACTTCCTGGCCAGTCTTCCATCCTTCCCCATATTCCAGTCTCCTCTCTTCCTCTGACATTCTCTTAACAGTATCCAGGGCTTTTCTTGCTATCACATTTATCACAGCTTCAATTAGTTATTTCTGTGATAATTGATTAATTGACATCCCTACTTAGAAGATCATTTCCATGAGGGTTTGCAAGGAACCTTGTTGAATTTATTTTTGTGTTCTCAGTGCCTGACACCATACCCAGACCATAGTAGGTGTTCAGTAAACATTTGAATTAATGAACAATTCATTTCCACCCCCTTAATCTCCCTACTGAATTAATAAATAACCTAACAGTGTTGATGCTGAAATTTATGCACAAATTTTTAATTTTATATATTACACATTATCACAATTTTGTATTTCTTTTTTGCATTGGGCTATGAGTTTCTTGAGGGTATAGTCTGTGTTTGATACATCTTTTTTTCCCCCAAAGTTTAACAGAAATTTGGCACTGGAAGTTTTTTGGCTCAATGAATGTTTATCAATAGAAAGTATTTTTAAAATATAATTAACAAATGGGAAAATTTTACACACTCAAAAATTCAAACAGGAATCACTAGGAAATGCTCCCAGGTTGTGGTATACATTGGCAGCAAAGCACTGTATAGTATTTGCATGAAAGAGGTGGTATGGAAAGTATATGTAAGAGTTGGGAGTAGCCTAAAAAATCTGTTATCTATGAGTAGTAAACATGTGAATGTTTACTGCTTTTAATTAAGCCTTCTAAAGTGTTTTTAAAAGAATTAAATATTACCATATTCTGAGAACATTTAGTATCCCTCTTTTTTGCTTTTTTTCTCATTTCATTAAATATTATTTTACATGATTTTAATAGGAATGTAGTTTTCATCCTATTAGTCTGCCATAATTTTTCAATCATGGTTTTGTTGGACAGCTACATAATCTTACAGTGTTACATATAATATACAATGAACACTTTTATTAGTCACTTTCCTGTCACTGGGATAAAATATAGTACCTGACACCCAAAATCTAGAGAGGTTTATGTCGCGCACATTTTGTAGTGAGTTCAGTCCCAAGTCTGCAGGCTCCAAGTCCTAAAGCGTATGGTGACAGGGCTGGCAAACATCATCTAGTCCCATGGAAGGCAGAAGGAGAGAGAGGGAACGAAAGAGCTGGGACAAGAAGATACGCTTCCAGGTCATGCCCCAGTGATCACCTTGAACCAGGCCCCATCTCCTAACGTAATATCCAGTTACTGAAGTCATCAGTGAGCCCACTGATGTGTATTGTATGTGCCTCATGGATCCAGTCACCCTCAAACTTATGAGACTTTGGAGGAACATTTTAGATGTAAACCATAACAACTCTACAGAAGATTTTTTTGTTCATGTATGCTTTTCCTTTAGAATATAAAAAGTAGAGCTACTCAGTTAGAGTCTGAGCATTTGTAACATGGTTGATGTTGTAGTGACCAGTTGTCCTCCAGAGATTGTATTTCTAACAATGAGAGTGCCCAGTTAGTTCAGCTTGTCCTGCATTGCATATTATAATTTTTAAAAATATTTCTTAGTTTGTGAAGTTAAAAAAATGATAATTTGAACTTATTTGAAACTAGCAAGGCTGTACATTCACATGTTTTGGGGGCATTTGTATTTATAAATTGCATGTTTGTATTTTTTGCTCTTTTTTGTTTCTGATATTTTAATATCCTATTTTTCATTAAGTATTTTGTTTTATTGATGGGTTTTTAATCTGATAAAAATGTGTACATTTTAATAATATAGACATTTAAATAGTAACTTAATTCCATTTTTAATTTTTACATAAAATCTCTTTTATATCTGTAATTCACATTGTTGTCTTCATGAAACTTTGTTAAAGCACACTTATTTTTGTAAACTAGGAGCCTTTTGTGGCAGATGAGTATATTGAACGTCTTGTATGGAGAACCCCAGGAGGAGGTTCTAGAGGTGGGCCTGAAGCTTTTGACCCTAAAAGGTAAAGTAAAAATGTGTGTTATTTTCACACCTCAAATTTAGTATACTAAAAATTTGTGTTTTCGTAGAGCTGACTAGTATTGGTATTTCTTTCAAAATTCATGTAAAGCAATTTTAGCTAACAGTTGGCCAAAAAAAAAAAAAAAGACATATATAACTAATATGAGTAGAATAAACAAAAATTTGAACATTTTTTCTTTTCTGTTCCATTTATTTTAGAGAAGCACTTTAACTGGTATAAGTGACACAGTTTTGTTGAAAATAAAATTTAGTATTTTCTCCCATCAAATTAGGAAGGGTTAGTTATACTTTTGAAATAAAAACATGTTAAATATGTGCTTCTAAGTATAGTAGAAATTGGGGTGATAGAGGCAGTGAACTGTAGAATGCTTAATACTGTTTTTATATTGCACATTTGTCTTTTTGACTGTTTTTCAAAAGCTATAAAATGTTTCTATTTTGGAAGTTTAATGGGCATTCTGGATGAGGTTTTAATTTACCCAAAGATGATCTATTGAGATGTCAAGAAACACTGGCCAGAAATCCATGTAATAGTTTTTTGAAAGCTATGTGCCTTAGGCAAAGTAAAGAATACATTGTGACTTTCCAGAAGACTTAGGAAACTCCTAAAAAAGAATACTATGGAGAAAATTGATGTGATCATCCATATCTCAAAGAACTGTGCTTTTGTTTTATTTATTTATTTATTTATTTATTTATTTATTTATTTATTTATTTATTTATTTATTTAGGTAGGCTGCAACACCACTGAGCTAAATCTGCAGTGGTCAAAGAACTGTTGTTAAGGCTCTCCATGTAAGTGAATTGGCCAGTTACTTTTAGATTGATACATAACCTAACTTTCTTCTGTTAGATTATTAGAAGAATTTGTAAATCATATTCAAGAACTCCAGTTAATGGATGAAAGAATTCAAAGGAAAGTAGAGAAATTAGAGCAGCAATGTCAGAAGGAAGCCAAGGAATTTGCCAAGAAGGTACAAGAGCTTCAGAAAAGCAATCAGGTAAACACTTACAAAGCAGTAAATAGTTTATATTCAGTATCTTTTATTTCCTTTCAACTGTAAGCTCTTAAAATAATCAAGTCAAACTATAGTAATTGTTGATGTTTCTCTCTACCTCTTTCGTCCAATGGAATGAATGAATTGTTATCCCGTGGTCTTGACATTGGCTTATTATTGAGTGTTAGTTTGGCAATCACAATACTTCCTTTTCAGGATGAGGTGGTGTCACATTTAGAGTGGTCCTTGTTCTCTCCTAATGGTGTAAATTTTCAAGGATACTCTGTAGTAGATGAGCTTTTTAAAAGGGGTTTATTAAAATTGATGTTCAGATCATATTTTGCATTATTATTAAGCATACTAAGTAATACCAAACTTGGATCAAATTTTTCCCCAGAGAAACCTGATCTGGGAAGTTTCACATAACTCTCACTTTGTCTCCCGCTCCCCACCTCCCTCCCTCTCTCTCTCTCTCTCTCTCTCTCTCTCTCTCCTTCCCTCCCCTCCCCCCTCCCCTCCCCTCTTTTTGGAGGATAGGAAAGTTTCACTAGAAATAAGGAGAAGAACAGATCTTGGATTTCCAGGAGGGGTCATGAATGGGGTGGCCCAGCAAACTGATTTCTGCTAAATTTTTTTAAAATTTGATATCATTTAGTTTATTATTATAGTTTCCTTTAAAAAAAATAAAATTACACTTATGTTAGCTATTGCTCTTTGGGGAAAGTATTTTTTATTAATTTTATTGGTACATTTTAAGTATATAATATAACATTCATCATTGGAAATTTCTATCTTTACATAATCTATCTTGGTTATTTTTTTCCCCATTCCCCTGCCCTCCCTTCAACCCTCCACCCTTCCCTATTTACAAAGACTTTTTTTCCATTTTTCATTTTCTAATATTAATTCCATGCCGGGGATTTAGCTCAATGGCATTGTGCCTGCCTCACAAGTGCAAGGTCATGAGTTTGATCCCCAGTACCAAAAAAGAAAACAAAACAAAAGTAAAATTTTATTTTAGATTTTTTTCACTTAAACATATGTAACTGTTAGAAAAAATTTCATTATGGAAGTCAGTAATTCATGTAAGATAAGGAAGTGTTTTTAGTAGTTAAGGTGACAAATACTCCTGATGTAGCTTTCTCTTGCTCATAAAAATAGTATTAATAATTAAAGTAACAACCTCTGGTGCAGACTGCTTGAGTTTGAGTTGTAGCTCTGCCACTTATTAGCTGCATATTCTCAAGTAGTTTAATCTCTGCTTTTCATCTGTAAAATGAATTGTAGATTAAGTAAATACATGTAATAGAATAGTTTCTAACACAGAGAAATTCTTCAATAAATGTTTGAGCTTTTCCTCTTCAACTGCAGGTTAGAACAAAAGTACCATACTCATCTACCACCGAGCAGTCAGTGTACCCAGGGAAAAGGGAAGAACATTCTAGGAAGGCGTATACCTATATCTTAATGGAATCCTTACTGCAGTCTTTCCTGTTTTTAAAACTGGAAAGAGCAGTTTTATCATGTATGACACTACTGTTGTTTTTTAAATATTTAAAATAAATGTTAATTTTTTTGGTTTTCTGATGCAGTGTCTTACTGTACATTTCAGGCTGGCCTTGAGCTCACTGTGTAGCTCCGGCTGTCTTCAAACTCTCAATCCTCCTACCTCAGCCTCGCAAGTGCTGGGATTATAGCATATGCTACTATAGCTGGCCAAATATTTTTCTTTTTAATCAGTACTTTTTACTTCTGATATATTTTTAAAATCTTTTCAGTTTAGTAACAAGAGGGTTCTTCATATGCCCAATAACTTTGATACTTCAGTTTATTGTTTTCAGAATCATTTAGAGCATTATGGTACCAGGTACTTTTGTTAAACAGGATGAATAATAAGAAGCTTTATTAATATATATATTATTAACTAACAAATATATTAATGATAAATATGGTTATTTTAATAAAGGGTAAAAGGTTACAATTTGGTTAAAAAATTTTCAGATCATGTCATGCTAATAAGTTGGGACTGTTTTTGTGGATTTCATATGTATTTCTAAACTGTCTTAATTACTTAAGATAGAGGGCTGATGAGATTGGTAATTTGGTTCAGTTCGTTTGTTTTTGTGGAGCTGGAAATTAAGCATAGGATCTGGCACATGCACTGTGTAGATTTATGCCTTGAATTGGTAATACATTTTTGATGAATATTAACTTTCCTCTTTGATTATATTTTATGCCTGTGCACATTTTCCCTAGGTTGCCTTCCAGCATTTCCAAGAACTAGATGAGCACATTAGCTATGTAGCAACCAAGGTCTGTCACCTTGGAGACCAGTTGGAAGGGGTAAACACACCTAGACAGCGGGCTGTGGAGGCTCAGAAATTGATGAAATACTTTAATGAGTTTCTAGATGGAGAATTAAAATCTGATGTTTTTACAAATTCTGAAAAGGTAAGCACTGTCAGAGGATAAAAGCAAATCACATAATAACAATTATGAGCTGGAATTATTACTTTTAACTGAGTAGCTGACTTATAAAAAATTGTTGTTCTAAAATGTAATTTAATGCAGTTGCTTATGTATCACAAATGATGTATTGATAATCAGATTATTAATCAGATAATTAATCATTTATGAAGTTACATGTGGTTTAAAAATGCTGAGGTAACTATGTTCATAAGTATTTTTTGCCATATTTGACTTTTCATGAAATTTCTAGTCTTTACACAACACTGAATAGTGGATAGGGTGATTTGACGTAAATTAAAGCTGAAATGTTTTTCTGTAAAGGAATTTAGTGCTTCTAGATTTTTCTTACTTGAATAAAGATCTCTTACAAAGAGTTAAGCAGTTTGGACCAAAGAATTATTTATGTTAATCCCTTTCATAGCACTATTAACTCTGGCCTTAAGGTATATAGTACTGACTATTCTGCAGTCTTGAAGATAATTTAGATTTTTTTTTCTCTTGAGGGAAAACATCAAAATGCATGGAAAAAAATGGATATTCATGCTTCTTATAACATTGCCCACTCATTTATTGATATCTTCCTAAGTTATTTCAGATTTGCTATATAAAACATCAGGATAATAAAAACTTAAGTTTTATTGAAGTTCACTTTGCATTAAGCAACACATTTGTGTTATGTATGAATGCTGCTCTACTGCAGGGTCACTGAATTTATAATTTTTAGTGAGCTTTAAAAAATAGTTATATGTGTATAGATAATTCCTTTTAAAAAGACGATATTTTTAAGAATTGAATTTCAACAATTATATTTAATAGTGTAAAGTAAAAAAATATGATACTGAAGAATTTATAAAATTTTTGACCTTACCTCTTATATATTTATGTGGCCTTTGTTAGAAATGTAGAGGTTTGAAAACTGAACTGTGCTCCAGGATAGTTTATGGAATTTTAAAATATTTTCCTAAATATAAATATTTATCATATATTATGAAAATATTTTAACATGTTATGAAATTGTTTTATCCATAAAAATTTGGGTCTAATTCAAATCTGATATCTTGGATTGCTTTGGATTATACCTGTTAGATTGTATGATGTGTTTATGCTACTATAAACAATGTAGATATCTTACTAATATGAGTTAGCCTATTTATTTGCTTTTAACTCAGAGTAGTCATTTAGATTTTAAAGAAAAAAATATTTTTAGATTGACTAAAATATTTAGGTCTAATCTGATTCATGTTATATGTTCACACTTTTCTTTAATTTTTTAATTATCAAGTGATTATATGGTTTTTTACTATTGCTGTTGCCTCTTAATTTTTGAGGTTTTAATTAAAAGAAAACAATCTTTATATTCTTGCTAGTTTATTCACCTGATTACTCAGCTATCTGAAATTTTGGAGGGGCTGATGCAGACCCACATACATCATTTAATTCTGTTTTTCTTTGCATTACTCTGTATTTTAATCTCTTTCTTTTATCTCTTTTGTTCTTTATTGTCATACTTTATTCCTTTTTTCTCATTTGCCTTCTTTTTCTGTTTCTCTGCCACATGAGTTTTGGGTTATTGTTTGCTAATTAAGAATCATCATTTTTGTCCTGGTACTATCACAGTTAACTACAATTAAGAACTCACGATAAGGTATTAGATTGATAATTACCAGGTAAACTTCTGGCTATCTTGTTGCAGTGTATTTTAACTATAATAAAATATAACCTTGTGTTTTAAAATTTTTTATAAAATAATTAACTGGGAAGACAATAAAAATAAACATTATTTACTGCTATACTACTTACTACATTAAGCAGAGTTTGCACATAGCACACTTCTATCTCTTAAAAGAGCAAACTGATGAAAACATAGAGTTAGCTGTGTTACAGATAGGTTCTTTCTGAAGAGCATATTGATAAAGAGAAAATGATAGATTTTGCCAGTAAAACAATAGTATGGTGAGTCATACTGTGATGAAACTCATGTGCTCATGTGCAGCAAACAGAGTAACTGTTTGGCAGCTGAAAATGATAGCATCCTGCTAAATAGGAGAGGAGAAATAATTGAAGCAAAATGCTATGTTCTCAATTGTTTGGAGTCCGAAGTAGCATTAGGTCCTGCTATAACCCACAAGTGCTTGCCAGGGTTTATGTGAATAATTAGAATAATTAATACTAGTGTTCATAATTCTTCGTGTCTATAAGATTTTCTCTTTTTAATGTAAGAGAAAATGAGTAATTATAAAAACAGTTATTAAAGTTATATCAAATTAAATGGCAGTACTAAGCTGAAATTTAAAGAAAAAGTGAACATTACATAACTCCCTCATACTATTGAGTGGACACAAATATCTTCTTTTAAAGAATTTGAGGGCTGGGGATTTAGCTCAGTGGTTCCTCTGCCTGCCTTGCAAGTGCAAGGACCCAAGTTCGATGCCCGATAAAAAAAAAAAAAAAAAAAAAAAAAAAAATAGTCAAAAGAATTTGAGACACTTTGCCTAAGTTTCTTTTTCTGTAACTTGAAAAAATATGCACATTTTTTCACTTAGACTTCATGTTAAACTTTAGCTTTGCTTTTGGCACATGTATTATAAATTTATATGGCTATTAAATGACAGGCATTTGTCATTTTTTTACTCATTAGCTTAAAGCAGGTATATGCCACAGTATGTTCTAAATCATCTTCATACATCTTATTTATCTTTTTGGAGTTCATAAGCTTAGAAGGAATTCACACATTGCTTTTGGCAAGTAATGATTTTAATTTCTTCAGAGTAACCTTGAAGTGCAGATTTCTTTGGGAAGGAAATGTAGCATCAAAAAATCATAAAACTTCAGTTTCAGAAAGACACATATTTGGATTTTGATGCATTATAGTAATTCCTAGATATATTTTTCTTGCTTATAAAGTTTTATTAGGGGTTTCTCAAGAAAATTGAGGGAGAGGCTGTATGTATAGGGAGATAACTACTATTTTCAAATATAGTTAATTTTTGATATGTGTAAGAGTTTTTAAATTATTGCTTTTATCTTTTTTTAATAGATAAAGGAGGCAGCAGACATCATTCAGAAGTTGCACCTAATTGCCCAGGAGTTACCTTTTGATAGGCAAGTTAACTTTTCAATAGTTAATTTGGGAATATTTATGAAATAAAATTGCAGTTTTTCCCTGTATGAATTTTCTTTGCCTATTAAATCAATAAAACATGCTTATTTGTATAAAATATACTGTAGTGTAAAATAGTTTATTGAAAAAATAGCCTACTCTTAATATGTAAATACAATACACCCTGAAATTGCAATCCTTATTTGTCTTGAGAAAAAAAATTTGTTGAGATTATTTTGAAATTGAATGAAGTAAAATATTGAATTTTTCTGTTTTAGACTTTGATAACCAGGGTGGTAAGATACAGTTTAAGCATATGGCTACTCAGCTGTTTTTTCCTATTTCTTGATGAAGTTGCTAAAGCTTTGGGAGTTTTAAAGTACCTTTAAAAGGCTAACGAAAGTTGCAAAGTTTCTTTAAGAAATTAATATATACACATAGATTTGTGTATGTAATTTCATGGCATTTTAGACTTTATCCTGTGTATGAAACCCCAGGGGCTTCAAGTCAAGAACCCCTGTATTAAATGTAAGATCCCAGAGCCATTATTAAGTTAGAGCTCATCCTATCCACTGAGAAGAAAATTTTTTTCATGGTTTTCTATAGTCCATGGAATGTCAGACTCTAATAATATCTTGGTAGAAGTTTTTCCTCTATGTGAATATCAGAAATAAAATGACATTGTGTATATCAGATAATATATGTGCACTTCTGTTCATACTCAAAGGTCTTCAGATACACATACAATATGAATGTATTACTATATTTAAAGTTTAACCATTATCTCAGAAATACACAGTGAATTCCTCCCAAATTGTTTTACTCTCTGTATCATCATAAAGGATTACAGTAATAATTCTTAAAGTTACCCACCAAAACTTCTATCGTTGGCTCATTTCAGAGTTGGATCATGTAAGTGGGTAACATGTCTAACTCATAATAGGTATATGTTAAATTTGGTTACATCTCCATCTGTTCCTCTATTCTGTTATTTCCCTCCAGAATACACTTACATATGTTTATCTTTTTCATTCCTCAAATTCATACCTCTTCAAGTTTTATGCTTTGGTGCTTTTTTGTTGTTGTTTTTTTATGTGTTGGGGATTGGCCTCGTGTATGCTAAGCAGGCCTATTACAATGAAGCTACACCCCTACTTTTCTTCCAGTTTTGTTTCAGCTTCTCTGCCAAGCCTTTGAGTTGAATATATGCCTTCATCAGATTTAAATTTTTTATCCAGGTCAATATGGCCCTATATGTATTCTGTGACCTACCATGACTTTGATATATCATTTTTTATAACTCGCTAAATTTTTATTTTCTTTTTCATCTGTCTTTGGCGTCTCTTTTGCTGACCACTCTCCTTTTTCCTCAAATGATTGCGCAGAATCTTTCAACATGAGTTTTTCAAATTGTACACTACTGCTTGATATTTAAGATTTGATGAATCTGGTATGTGGTATTTTAGTTTTTAAATTGCTAAAGATGAAATGATTGCCCTCCTAAGTTTATCCCTGGATTCTTTGGGGGGCAACACTGGGGATTGAACCTTAGTACTTCACACTTAGCTATGTCTCCAGCTCTTTTTTACTTTGATACAGGGTCTTGCTGAGTTACCCAGCCTAGGCTCAAACTTCAAATTCTTTTGCCTCAGCTACCCAGAGTGCTGGGATTATGGTGTGCACCACCATGCTCAGCTATTGTTTTTCTTTTAAATAATTTAAAACTTTACTTTAAAATTTTCCAGTGTGCAACAGATTATCGTGATTATTAATCATAATGATCAAGTGAATATATAATGCCAGTAAATATGAGTAGGGACAGTAACTTAGTTTTAGGACTAGTTGCTAGCACCTTCCCTCCTTAATAAGGGAATTGATTATTCAGTATGAATTTCCTAAATGAGAACCATCTATCCCATCTAAATTGCCTATATAAAATTTTGTTGACTGTCATACTTCTATGTACTCTCTTCTCTGGCTTTGTCTGGTTTAAAATGATAATATTTTAATTCTGTAATATTTTTAGATTTACAAAAAAGCTGCAAAGATAATAAATATAGATAGCGAGCTTTAGTATTTTCCAGTTTTCTCTTTTGTAACACCTTACATTAGTATGTTTGTCACAACTAATGAACCTCATCATTCCCTTGTATCTTTCAGATTTTCAGAAGTAAAATCCAAGATTGCAAGTAAGTGGAGTCTACTTATTTAACTTTTTTTTTTTTTTTGAGAAAGTAGAAACAATTACTTGTGTAAAAAATCAAATAACAAAAATGGGGAAGGTGAGAACAATGCTGTCCTCCTACCCTGTCATGGAAACCAGCATTACCAGTTTTCCCTGAAAACAAGTATAACCAGTTTCTTGGGTACTTGTAGAAAATATTGCATGGGTATACCAGCATAAGACATAAATCCTGTGTATACATATTATAAATGTGTATATATCGTCATTTGTATTAATTGGTCACAAAAAGCTTTAGACATTTTTTTTTAATTTAACAATATATTTTTGAGATTGTTTCATATATATCTGAATAAGTTTCTCTCATTTTTCTTTTTAAAGCTAAGACAATCTGAGCATTTTAATATCTGTTTTACTCATGAAGTGACTTGGTTTTTGCCAATCTTTGTAAGGTAGATCGTTCTAAGTTTCTGGAGAGACCGTTGTATTTGTATGCTCCATGCATGGTAGCCTGGGTCATTGTTTGCTAGTTCATTTTAGAAAAGGTTCAAAGAACCACCTGAACTTCCAGAATTCTAAGAATAAGATGACAAAGATAATTGGACTCATACTGGTGATATTTTTGATCACTATAGATTAGTCTGAAGTTCAAATGTTTCTTAAGAATCATAATAATCCTAAGAATGCTGTGAGTCAAATACCACATATTATCTTAAGATGAAATTTGGTATTTTATCCACTAATATTCCTGGTAGAAACATCTGGACTCTAGTAAAGAATTTCATAGTCCTTCCTCCCCCTTTTTATAGTGTTAAGTTTAATATCTTTCTTACTCTTCATGTCATAACTGGCCTTTAAATGGTTTTTCATATTATCTTTTTAAAAAATATATAGTCAAATGCTAGTTTAAGTTATAGTAATAAAGGGCATTCAGACCCCAGGAAGCCCACCTGTTTTATTAGTTTGAAAGTTTTTGTGTATTAAAATATAAATTATATGGGCTGGGGATTTAGCTGTGTGGTTCTGGTGCCTGCCTTGCAAGCACGAGGCCCCAAGTTTGATCCCCAGTACAAAACAAAACAAAAACCAAAATATAGATTATATATACCTCTGTATATTATAGAAGCTAAATCTCCATCTATAATCTCCTTTTGTAATTATTCCAAAAGAAGGCATACTCATAGTCACTGTATTTTCAAATAACTTAGATTCTATTTGTCAGCAACTTAGAACTTTGAATGCCTCAATATAGCTGATGGCTTTATTTTTATTTTTAGGTAAATACCATGATTTAGAATGCCAGCTGATTCAGGAGTTTACTAATGCTCAAAAAAGAGGTGAAATATCCAGAATGAGAGAAGTAGCAGCAGTACTACTTCATTTTAAGGTAAATAATAAAAATTTAAAATAAAGACCAGTGTCCAAGGTTGTGGAGATTGTACGAGTTTTATATGTCACAGTCTGTGATGTTTACCTATTAATTGTATAACTATATCAGCAAGAATTTTCATACTGAATACAGTATATATTTTATGTATCTATGTAAATGATGCCAAATCTTAGGTATTTAATATTTAAAGATTTCTAAGTAATATTAATAATTGTATCAAGGAAGTTTTAATGTAGTTTGGTAAAGAAAATGATCTGCCTTCTTGCTTTTTAACATATCTGACTCAGTAAAACATGTTCTGAAATAGCTCAGAAAGCAAAATAATTGACCATGAATATCTGTTGGAATGTAGGCATCAAAGAATACATAAAATGTAACTAATGAAAAATCCAGTGTCTCGCTGGGCATTTAGCTCAGTGGTGCCACTGTGTGCCTTGCAAGCGCAAGATCCCAAGTTCAATCCCTGGTACCAAAAAAAGAAAAAAATTAAAACAGAACATTTTGGGCTGGGGATTTGGCTCAGTGGTTCCACCACCTGCCTCACAAGTACAAGGTCCTGGGTTTGGTCCCCTGTACCAAAAAAAAAAAACACCCCAAAACCAAAACACAGTGTCTCAGGTGGTTAATGCAAAGAAGTATTACATTATGGACTTGTCTTCCTGGAAAGTGCTTAAAGAAATCATTCTTGAGGTGGACATTGTTGTGCGTACCCATAATTCCAACACTTAGAAGCTGAGGCAGGAGGATTTCAAGTTCAAGCCCAACCTGAGCCACATAGTAAAACCTGTCTCAAAAACTAAACATAATAAAAATAATACATAAATGGAAAAAAAAAGAATTCTTCCTTTAATCTATTTCTTCATATTTGTTGTATCAGATTAAAAATTGAAGTTGTTTATTGGACTTTTCATTTTGGGAACATCTGAATGAGTATTAAGAATGGCATTTGAGGCTGGAGATTTAGCTCAGTGGTTCCACCTCCTGCTTTGCAAGCACAGGGACCCGAGTTCATTTCCCAGTACCAAAAAAAAAGAATGGCATTTGATATAGTGGTACCATATTGAGCTTAACATGACAAATTACTTTGTCTTAAACCATTTTATTGAAATGAATTCAGTTTAAAAGGTAGGTTTCCATACTACCAGTTGAACAGCTCTGCCATAATCCTTACAAAGCAAAGGAAATGCTTTGAATCCAAGAGAAGAATATATATGTAAAACCTGTAAGATCTTAAACTCTGTGTGTGTGTGTGTGTGTGTGTGTGTGTGTGTCTGCACATATGTGTATTTTGGAATTGAAAGATACAGCCTCAAATAGGGATTTAGCACAGTGGTACTGCGCCTGTCTTGCAAGTGCAAGGTCCCGAGTTTAATCCTAGTACCAAAAAAAGGTATGGCTAGATTATTTTACAGCAGAAATTACTGCAAAGGACTCAGTTATACCTCAGTTTTCTTTTTCATCTGAAGTCCAACAAGTAAATAAACCAACTGATTGATTTTATCATTGAAAGTGGGAGAAGACAGCTATGTTAACTGATTATCTACAGCTGTCTTTTTATTTCATTCCAATAACTACTGGTTATTCACTGGAACATAAGATATAGCTGTATTGCATTTAACAGTTCTATTGAATTTTATTTTTGAAGTTTATTTATAAATTGAATATTTAAATTGAAGTTTATTTATATTTTAATTGAACTGGAAACAGTGGTTAACAATGTGTTTGTTCTTTTTTTAGGGTTATTCTCATTGTGTTGATGTTTATATAAAGCAGTGCCAGGAGGTAATATACCTGTATACTTTATTTAGTTTTTATGCTAATTTGTATTTTAAAACTGTTTAAAAATTGTATATTCACTATGTAAAATGCCTCCACTGTTTAGGGTGCTTACTTGAGAAATGATATATTTGAAGATGCAGCAATGCTCTGTCAGCGTGTGAACAAGCAAGTTGGAGATATCTTTAGTAATCCAGAAACAGTACTGGCTAAACTTATTCAAAATGTATTTGAAATCAAACTACAGGTAATTGTAAACAGTGACAAATTAAATGTTCTTAAGGTAGCACGGGATTAAAAAATATTTTAGAAGTTTAAAAAAATTTAGTAATCTATTTAAGGAGATAGAAATGTCAATTATCAGGCTTTTTAAAAAATGGTTATTCACCAAGGAAAAGGTGATAATCACTAAGTGTCAAAAACATGCTTGAAATTTGTTATACAGCAGTAGTAATGGTAATACAATATTATGATTAGGTAACCTCAGAATATTTTTCTTTAAAAGTTCTTGCCTTGAACAAAAAAGACATTTGTGAAACTGAACAAAAATTGCCAGTGGAGTCTTATAGTTTTTTTTTTTTGTACCTGGGATTTAACTTGGGACCTTGTGCTTATGAGGCAGGTGGGCAGCACCACTGAGCTAAATCCCTGGCCCTATAGAATTTTTTAAATGATGTACTAATATGAAAAGAAAACTGAAATTAATTTACAACCTTTATTCCCATAGCACTGTACTTTTAGATATTCTAAATTATGTTTACTACTAGACTAAGCATCATTAAATATTTCCTTTTAAATAATATAGCCTTTAAATGTGCCGTTATTTGTTATGAGTCTCTAGAATTGGGAGTATATGGTACATTTCTCACCTTTACTGACCAAGGAGCCCTAATTTCGAGCAATACCTATTAATATCTCACAGGACACTAGTGTTACCTAAACCACAGTTTGGCAAATGCTATTCTAAAGAACTGATTCTAATCATGTTTCGAAAGAAAAGATATTTGTTTTAAATTCTTAATATTTATCCCCAAGACTGACATAGATCTTCTGTAGGTATGTATAAGAAGCAGTAAAATTTAAGTCTATTCTTAAATTTTCTTAAGATTCGTGTACTTTCTGTGCATTACCTTTTTGATTGGATTTTAATCACAATATTTCAAAACTATATAGCATTTTAGAAGAAAAATACGAGACATTATACAAATTAATATTAAAATGTTGACTTTCTTTTTTAGAGTTTTGTGAAAGATCAGTTGGAAGAATATAGGAAATCAGATGCAGAACAATATCTCAAAAATCTCTATGACCTATATACAAGGTATATTTTTAATTATTAGAAAACAGTTGATCTCAGATATTCTTTTAAATAGAAAATGAAGTAGGTATTTTTTGAATAGCTGTCATATAGCAGTATACCTTTTAGTATTTAATTCGTGAGTGTAGACTAGAGTTGTAAAAAGAAGTAGCATTCTTAGTACATTAACTTTAGGACTTGGATATTATTTATGCTAATGTACTAAGAACTGTAAGACCTTGTTTAAATGAAGATTCATGGATTTTGTTTCTGATTCTAATTATGAGCTAATTCATCATTTATTTTTGTCTAAAAGTTAGTATAAGTACACTTAATTGGCAGGTAAAACTTTTTGAAATTGCAAAAGGGAGTGACATTCATAACAAATGGAAATTTCAGTCTTAAGTCCCATGTTTGAGTTTGTCTTATGCTTTTGTAAATGGCATTCTTATGCTTAGAGCTACCATTTTAGAAATTTTATACGAAGTTTTTTCCTTAACTTTTTCCAACTCTTTTGCTATTCTTTTCTCTTTCTCTCATTTTTTTTTGTACCAGGGATTGAACTCAGGACGTTGCGCTTGCCAGGCAGGCAGCAGAACCACTGAGCTAAATCCCTGGCCCCCTCTTTTGCTATTCTTTCATCTCTTCTGAGAGGTTTTTAAAAATTATGTTGAAGCTTTTCTCAACAAAAGAATTGCAGTGATCCTATTTTTAACAATAGAATATAAAAAAGAAAAGTCTTCATGGACAAAGCTGAAAGAAGATGAACGGAAAGTAGGCTTGCCAGTCCTGTTTTGCTTACTTTGTGATGAATGGCATTAGTGCATACTTGAGTTCATTCTCCTGCTTTCATTCTGCCACTGTTGCTGTTCCTAGACTGGTTCATTGCCTCAGTTTCTTTTCAAGGTGATCCCTAGGAGTTTATTACAGTTCTCAAAGCCATGTTATTTGTAGTATTCCATTCTACATTAGCTTTGTAAAGCTGCTTTCTACATCCTAAGTACTCTTCCAGCTTTTAAGAAATGGTGGTTTAATATAGGTCATTAAAGTCACATTGTAAAAATATATACTCCTTAACATTGTTACTATACCTAAAATATACATTGATCTTTTTCTTCCCCCTTTCCATGAAAAAAGAACCACCAATCTTTCCAGCAAGTTGATGGAGTTTAATTTAGGTACTGATAAACAGACTTTCTTGTCTAAGCTTATCAAATCCATTTTCATTTCCTATTTGGAGAACTATATTGAGGTGGAGACTGGTTATTTGAAAAGCAGAAGTGCTATGATCCTGCAACGCTATTATGATTCAAAAAATCATCAGAAAAGATCCATTGGCACAGGAGGGTAAGTTCTTTTATTAAATATTGCAGTTAAAACTGAAGGCATTAGGAACATTATTATATTTGGGCAGACTTATCAAAAGAGTGAAAGCTTTTTAACCCACATTGTTTATACTACTGATCAAATCTTGCTCCTGGACCTCATGTTAAAATGTCCTAATGTAACATGATTAAAATGTAACGCAGAAATTTGAAAGTAAAACATAAAATCAGTAATATTAAGAGTTGCAGTAAGCCAGGCTTGGTGGCGCATACCTATAATCCCAGCACTTGGGAGGCTGAAGCAGGAGGATCACTGTGAGTTTGAGACCAGACTATGTTCCAGGTCAGTCTCAACTACATAGGGAGACCTTGTCTC